CTTAATTATCAAAATATGACCAATTTAAATTTCACCAGTTGGCATTGGTATCAACTTCAATCTCACGCACTTGTTTATAGAGGCGAAACACATATAATGAGACATAACTTCGGTGTATACTCCGCGGTAGAAATTATAGAGAGTGATTCATACATAATATAGAAACACTATTACCGTAAAATGTATAAAACTTAAAATGATTTTTATAACGGTTCAATATTATTTGCTTATGTTAAATGATGTACCACTCTCTTTGCACATCGATAGGATCTATAACAGTCATAGACTGAGTTACACTGAACGCGATTTATTTCCTATCTCTGTCTATCGCACTTATTACAGATAGGGAAATGTTATTTTTAGTGGGTGTAAACGGACATACGTAGAATTCGAGTTAGCCGTAGTTAGAAACGTCAAACTATAAGCGCGCGCGAGGGTTTGCATATTCCGTGACTATAGTAAATTTATAAATTAAAAAAATACAATCGGGACGTTTTAAAACGTAGGAATAATAATTAAAATGGATCAAAGTGCCGGTTGTAGCAAACGGTCTGTTGCTCNATCAATTTCGAACGAAAAAAATATGCGTTGTCATTTAAAAAAAAAATTATGTCATCGCTGCCGTAAGTGGATTATCGAAAAAAATTTTTTTCCACATAACAAGATGCCCTGCATCAAATAAAAATCAACGGGTCTCACCGTTTTTCGAAAAAAAAATTGTTTAACGAAAATATGAATTTTATGCAGAACTTTTTTACCACGCTGTATATCATATATCAGGCCAAAATAATAAATGAATCCCACCTAAGTAAAACTTGTGTTGTGAGATTCATGCATATATTAAATTTAAGTTATTTTTTCAAAACAATTTTTTTGAGATAGTTTTCATTGTTTTAGGTAATAAATTAAATAATTTAGGACCAAGATATGATGAAAATCTCTGAGAATGACTTTTTTGCATAGAGGAATGTTTGCAGAATCATTGGCCACAACACGAGTATTATATGTATTCGTTGCGTAAGACATATCAGAATTAAAAGACCATAGTAAACACCGGTAAGAGAACAACTGTCTCAAACTAAACACTTTAGCTTCTTTGTATAACATTTCAGTGGAGTAAAGTCTGTCTTTTTTTAGAATGATTTTTAATATACTATTTTGTAAAACCTCTAGATTATGCATTACTGATTTATATGCTCCACCCCATACAGTTATACAATAACCATTACAGACACCACCAATGCATCATAAACCATAAGAATATGCTTGATATCTATTACATCTGAGTTGGTAAAATTTATGTATTAGTTGCCTAAGCCGCTTCACTGTGAATTCTATGATCTGTCCAGCGTAGACAATGATCAATCATAAGTGTTAATAATTATGTGCGAAACAAGTTTAAAGAATCGGATTTGTTTGAAAAACTGGAAGATATACAACACATGTGTATAGAATTTCTGCAAAATCTAGTGACATTTATAGCGATATGACGTTAATCATTTTTTATAGTATCTGATTACTGTGTTTTCCTTTTTATTTTAATATTGTATTATATGTGTTACTTTTGAAAATTTTAATTAATCATTGATTGAATTTAAATATATTATTCTGTAACCCAAGACTTCCATAAAAACCTAGAAGTTGTCGCAGGAAAAATACAAAGTTTACACAATTATTTGTATATTTTATCCAAATATAAAGCAAAATATATTTCACAAAATTGCAGTCAACTTAAACGCAACATATTAAACACAATTTTTTGGAAATGTAGTGTTTCTAGGTGTCCGGAAACGAAAAGGCTATACATCAACGCTAGTTTCTTTGGATGAAAATAAACCGGTGTAGATTAAATTACCTTAGGACAATTTTGCTTCATAAAAAAAGTTATTGGTTAAAATGTTTTTATATTAAATTCCTTAATAAGAATATACCCCTTTATTTTTAAATATATTATATATTTCAATAAAATTTAATATGGGGAGGATAGAGATTTGGAATAGTTGAATATGAACATGAGATTTATTTTACTTAAAACTGTTGTATTTCACTAAAAAACACTGGACCAGAGAAAAAAGGATTATTTAATCAAATCATCAGTTATGTACAACTAAGTTTTTGAGGTATTATTCTACTCTAATTAAACTATATTTTTTGCTAAATCTTTAACTAAATTTCCATACACTCTCTTTTTAATAAAGACGTTAGTCCAATCCGTAATATTTAATTTGATTGCTACTTTAGAAAAATGTAAAGTTAATTATATTAAAATGTTCCCACTACGCCTACTTGGCTGTCCCTAAATCATGACTGCAAAAAAATTGAAATTCATTTCTCTAGAACGGTGCATGAAAGAAAACATTTTTTAAAGGCAAATGAAGTGGCATTGCTTAAGAGTTCTAAGCGACTTTTATGTTTTTGGTAAAAAATAATCTCATATTCATAGCCAAAGGGCTACCACGAAAACTCCACATTATCATATATAACATTGAAATATTTTTAAAACCGAGTTATCTTACCTTTTTTTTTCTTTTTTTAAAGTCCGATTACTTTTTAAAGAAGCAAGATGTTAGTATACTGATCTACATAAAATTATTTTCTCCCTTGGACACTACCTTTGAAGCATTGTCCATTCGTTTGTACGTTTTTAACATCATTTTTAGTTTTTCGCGTAAGATGTACTGTATAATACCCGTGAATTTACACAATAATTGTGAAATTTAACATTTGTATACGCTTTTCACACACATTTTCATTGCCAGTTGGACTGTACGAAGGCGTAACAATAACGAAAAGGTCATCGACGCTTTTACTGCAATCGTTTTCACAGTTTACTTTGCGAACTGCTCCAGATACGAGCCACATGATTTTTTATTCTAAAAATATTCGTTAGTTATAGCAATAAAGTCGGTTACGAGTACTTGGGATTTACTCTTTTGTGATAAAATTTGAAACGGGATCGGCAATTGATTCAACGTACCACAAAATAGTTACAACAAACTGGAAAATATAAACATTTATAAATAAATAACGAGAGCATTTTCTTTAGGGAAATAAGGTAAGTAGGTGAAGAAAACCATTAAAAGTGATTTACACTGAGAAACGTATATGACGAAAAGTGGAGCAGAACATAAGAAACATCCTTATAACATAAAACATATATTAGAGGCTGTATATAATTAAGTCATAGATATCTGATGCATCTGTGCATCGGAGTAGATGCAGTTTTTATAATAATGGCAATTAGAGAAGCAATTAAGATTTTTTATAGTCTTGCGATATATCTACAATGATTATAATTTGGATGGTTATCAGACTGTAACCAACACAAATGCTCATGCATTATTAATGTCTTCAAGTTACAGAACATTTAATATGATCTAATAAGTAGACGTGTCTTGAAGAAGCTTCAGAATGTTTTCTTTACACTTGTTTTTTTAATGCGTTAATATGAAAATAATAAAGTATATTTATTACTTAATCTGGTAAAAATGGACATTCATAATTTAGAAATTGTGGAATTTGTCAAATGACAGGAATTTATGCGTTTTGATTGATATTAAAACACTTAACATAAAATATTTTAATTTATTCCATTTATTAGGGTATTTTACCACGTCTTAACAATGCAAATAAAAAATTCTAAAAAAAAAACATACAAAATATATGATAAGTGTAATTTATCTAACAGATCTTTGCTGCTGTTCTTTCTAATTCGAGGCACAAGTAAATAAATAAAATCAGTTTTTTACGCAGAAAAATATCATAAAAATTTATCAGTTGTTTCGAACTATTGTATAAAATATGAAAATGTTAATTAACGTTTATTGTTCTTACTATTAATTATGAAAGTATTAACTACAATTTGCAGATATTTCACATGCTCAAACAATATTCTATGAGTTTGGCAGAAACTGTAGCTTGATGTTATTTATGCTACAATTGTTTTTGCGTGGGAGATATCCTATATGATATTTCAAATGTGGAAGCAGATAAACAAACAAAGGAAATATAAATCCTTATATGACTTACACGCGATTTTCTTCCAAATTTTGATAACGAAAATAGATTGTTTTTCGAAAATAGAAACCAACTTCTAATTGATTATTTTATTGATTTATTATTTTTCTTTTCAGTATTTTATATTTTTCAGGGATATTTAGTATTTTTCAGTCAAATGTCTAAATAGAGAGAGGCATAGGTTATCTTCGTAATTCGGAACATGTATTTAGTAGAGGCATCTTACGAAATTATTTTTAACTTTAAAAAACGTCGACAAAAGAAGTATGATATTTTCATTTATTTGTTCAAATTACATTATGTGTTTTATATTTAAAGCAAATCCTGGAATTAATTTAATTTTGTCTAACCATTTATACAAGGTATGTCTAAATATCATTTAGGTATTCTTAATCAGACTGCAGTGTCTCCAGTGTGTACCGTAGTTTTGTGTCCACTTGAAGTAAAAAAAAAAAAAAAATTGTTTACATATTTTGTTGATAAACATTGTAATTTTCATATTATGGAATACACTGTTCGCAATTTCCGGAAAATATCCAGTAACGATAAGAATGATGTAGAATTTTGTCGAAAATTGTGGTTTCTGAGTGTAGGATCAGAAAACTTAAGTTTATTGATTAATGTGAAACAAAACAAAAAAAAGATTTATGCATTAGGTACATTATATTTTTGCAATAAAATGATTCAACTTTCATATTGTATTATTTTAATATCCTTTTGTATAAATGATACTGGTGGTGCTTATACTCGTAAGATGTAATAAAAAAAAAATCCGTAAACATGTATAATATTCCTACTTCAAACTTTGCTTTATGTTGGAGAAATATTGTTAAGGATACCATAATAGGTAGGTACGACTTCTCTACTACGATTATCATCTAAATTAACTCTACGAGTTGAAAATTGAATTTGGTGAATTGAAATAACTAATACACCAAGATACACACACAAAACACAAAGAAATAAGGAAGATGGGTCCTTACCATTTCGTAGGCGTACTTTTCCGGCGACGTGGCAATCGGTGGGTTGTCGAAGTAGTTGATTTCGGTGAACCGGTTGACTATGAGCGTACTCGGGGCGGCCAGGTGGTGGTTATTGTACATGTGGGGGGCGCATTGGCCACAGGGACAGGGTGCTGGGGCAGGAGCGTATGCGGGGGGGATCTCTGCCGGGCAGGGGACCACGGGACACAGGGGCACTACGTAGGGATATTGTCCGGGCGCGTTGAAAAAGTACGTCGTGATTGCGGGGGTGGCGCGCGAAGAGCTAAAGCGCCTCTCACGCGATAGTTAAAACGCGTCTTACACGATTGTCTCGTTCGATTGTCTTCTTTTCTAGATTTATTGATTGAGTTTTTGGTATCTTTGCAATATTGCACGATTGTCTCCGTGAAGTCTATCAGTAGTTACCTTAGCCTAGCTTAATAAATATCTTTTGACTGTAATAAATAACTGAGCTTTACTTATCTGATACGATATATATAATATATAATATAAACTTTGATTTGCTTACTTGAAAATATATAGTGTATACTTATTTAACTTTAGCCTACGGATATGTATGTTACACAAACAACGAATTAGCCTAGGATTACAATTTACCCTTAATGTTATTATTTATAATAAATAAGTCTCAATAAATAGATATGCTAATACTGGAAAATTATTTGCACACAACCCTCGTGTCTTATTGATAATAATAGTAGTAAAAAGAGCGATTCAAAGTGAGATTGTCTCGAATGATTCAGATATGTCATTTAATTGAAACTCGTAGGAAAGAGTGTGTGTGTGTGTGTGTATGTGCGTGCGAGAGTGATTTATTATTATTTTTAAATTTATATACAAAGAGTATGATTGTCTAAATTCCACAAACTATGTAGATATATACCTATTACTGATATTGACTTGATTTCGAGTACGGGGCGCGATATTTTATCTAATAAATAAGTAATCCTGTTGCACTGGGCCCTTTTTGTTTCTATATTTATGTTATGTATGTAGTGATCGAGGACGGCCTGTGACTATCAACGAACGCTCGCTGACGAGTTCAAGAAACTCCAAACGCTAACTAGAGCTAAACACTTATTAATTTATTACACTTACTTGATGATTGTCATTAAATTCTTGGACAAGACTTCAAACGTCTTTGCCTTGGAAAACGCCAAAAAATAAATAACCGTAACCGTTACCTTTTCGATAAAAAAATATTATATTTTGTACTAAAACGAAGGGTTCCACGCGGAGTGCGCTAGCTGGTTGGACGTGGAAGGTCTGCGGTCGTGAGAAAAAATAGATGGATTTTACCTTGTTTCGTCGGTAGAGTCGAGTCGCACACAATAGGTAGAACGTAGGAGAGTGACTAGAAGCGTGAAAAAGGAGGCAAAAGACGTTCGAAACGGAGCAACAACCGTCGTCGTTCCCGTGAGGACTGAAGGGGCTCGGTGACAGAGTGAACAGTTCGTATAGGAATAAGTGTAGAGGTGGACCGCCGCACTCGATGGCTATCTCGCCCGGACTGTGACTGCTCCGCGGATCTGCCGAGGCGCTCGGCGAGCGGCCGGGCGACTGCGCCCCGGCGGCCCCCCCGCGCGCCCCCGGCCAACCTGATGCATGCCGTGGCGGCGGCGGCCACCGTGCACAGGTAGGCCGGTGGGACACCTTTCTAGCCCGCTCCTTCGGGTGGGGTGGCGCCGCCCCTGCTGCGTCGGACGCGCCGCCGCGCGATTTTTGTACTGGCGTGCGTTTGGAGGCCGCCACCCCCCGTGGACTAGTTTCGGTGACACATTTTTGGACTAGTCGCCGAGGGCAGCTATTCCAACATTGCCAAAAAAAAAAATCAATTTCGAAAGCAAATAATGAAAATTTAGTGTACTGAGGTAAACATTTCGCTTGAAACTAGTAGGAAGCTTTAATTTTTTTAAATTATCAATTTATATCAACAATAAATAGACTAGTATTTAGAATGTATCATTGAATTTCAAAATTTTGTTATGACACTGAGAATAATGTCACAAATTGTTGTAATTGTGAAAATTAAATATTTTAAAAAAATTTATTTTCCAGAATTAAATAAGTATTTAATAAAAAATGTTGGTAAATATTATGTCAGTTGTTACCTAAAATTTAATATCACCACGCTGCTAATGCGTAACCGCTGCTAGTCAACAGATCAGGTAGAGTAAAACAGAATGAACCATCATTGTGCACGGACAGTGTGAGGTGTGAACGAGAATTATTATGGATAAAATTGATAGTTTGTTATCTGAATGAGGTTTAGAATGTCTCACTGAAACTATACTTGCTATTTAATTACCCGATTAGTTAATCGAGTCCTCAGCAGAACTGAAGTGTTGACCCTAGGCAACAAACATTTGTGTATTGAGTCATAAAGTTTTGTTTCATTTCAAACTGTTGTATCGACAGTGACTTTATTTATAATCAATCAATAGCCAATGCTTGGTGGTGTTAGTATGATTCATATTAATTAATTAATTTTTGTAAATAGATGACAACACTCGAAAATATATTTTTTTTTACTAGTTACGTAAAAAAATTTCAACTGCACCAGTAATGGATGCACGCCATTAAGTCTGTTATTTGTGAATTAATTTTGATAAAATCCACATTTCATAAAATATAATAAACCACTAACAAAAAAATATATAAATAAATATGTACTGATGGAGTTGAGAGTTCCCCACATAACGAGTGATTTCTCTTTAACAAAAACGTTGATTTTAAATAAATCTAATTAAAAATATTATTTTATTGGAATAAATATTATAATTTCTCCATTTTCTTTATTAGCTTCCTCCTCGTTTAAGGAACTTCTCATTGAAAGTTGTAAGAACATATTTATCTGTGTTTCTCCCAAAATCTATTTATCTGATATGGACGAACATTTTTTATATTTATGCACACATTATATTTCCCGACAAGAATTTTTAACAATAAATAAATAAAAATGTATATACCTAATAGTGATAATTAAAAAAACTTTGAAGATTTTAATCGACGATATCTAGGAAACAATTACTCTACGAACTACATGACATGTAACTTGTAGGTATACTCACCTATACCAGTTATATTTGTTTTTCGGATAAATATTTAATCACATCACATCAAATGTATTAATTAATTTTAACTGTTTAGATTATTTTTTAGAATAAAATATTCAGTATTTTTATTCAACTAATCCTACTTAAGGTCTCCTGAAATTTCACAGATAATACAAAAGGTAGACCCTTTCTCCGAAAGTATGGATTTTGGCAGCATTTCTTATCAACTACTTTTATTTTGCATGAAAACGAATATTAAAATTTTTTTCGGAAACATGATAATTATCAGAAAAACGAGACACCCTTTTTGTGTTCAGTGAGACTCGAAAAATATTACTATTTATTCGAAAATGTCACGTGTATTTTTTTTACTTAGGTATAATATAACTAGTGCTAAACATATTTCCCGAAAATTTTTTGAGGTCGAATACAACAGATGAATAATGGTAATGAAAGAAAGAAAATAATAGTGAGGACATTGTCTCAGAACGAATCGACACGAAACAGTGCGATATCGATAATCGGTCGTCCATTTTTATGCACAGTATCGTAATGTTTAAGTATATAAACAGTCAAATTCAGTGACATTACCAGTATGTTACAAATTATTTAGTATCGGGTATATGTTTTTTTGTGCATAAACATAAGTAACTCTGAAGATTCAAAATGTACATCATTAGAAATTTGTGATATAATTATTTCTGAGAATAAACACAGGATTGGCTTCAGTAATTATTTAATAGTGCCTCATTTATTTGAGGCAGATTGATTTAAAAAACAAAAATACCTTTCCTAAAGACAATTTCAAATTAATTAAATTTCAGTCATAAATTGGCAAAACTTAAAATTAAATGAAATTTTTATAATAGTGAAGTAAAAGTGAAGTTACTATATTACAGGTGTTTATTAACAGTAACCTGCGTATTACTTTTTCCCAAAGTGTGAAACTTCAAAAAACTATCGTCGAAGGTTATGATAATAGTCGGATGTGAGCGTTGTTTTTTAGATTTAAAAAGAGGATAAAGACGTTTTCAAGAAATGCGAGACAAGAAAGGTTAAGTGCTTTAGCTTTGTTGAGCGTAGAAAAATTGTTGATAAAGTACATAAACAATTTCAACGAGAAAGTTATTGACCACGTCGCATCGAAGGATCGAAGTATAGATTTGTTATAAACTATATTTGTTATAAACTAGTTAAATTAATAATAATTAATAATTAATATTAGCCGTAACTTGGATGGGAATGATGTCGGAGAAAAATTAAGGAAATTGAAGCTTCAAGTTTTTAGTTTTCGGATCTGGAATTTAAATTTTTTTAACGTCAGCGGTTTTTGAGTAATCATAAGAAAACTAACGAACAAAAAATTTTTGTTTGTCTTTAAAAAGGTCTATGAAATTTAGTGATTTTTTTTTAGTAATTCAGTTTGAGCGGTTTCGAAGTTCTGTACGATGATTTGTCGCTGATTTATCGTCGATCAAAGCAAATAAGTAATTTTTGTCTTTAGCAATCAATTACTGGAGAAATAATGATCGCACAGAAAATCCAAGAAAGTATTATCTACAAGTGGGTCGTAATATTTGGTTTTTGATAAAAAAAAATATGTTTTCGAAAATGTTGGATGGAAAAAAGGTAAAAAATAGATTAATTAAGGATATTTGAATAGGTAACTTGGCATAACTTTGCACATAATGAATAAACTAAAGATATTGACTGTAACTCCTCAAGCTCAAAGCTAAAGAATCCCTGACAGCTTCAAAACGCTGCGATTTTTTTTCCTAGTGTCTGGAATGTTTAAATTTGTCGTTTTTGTGGAAAATCAATGTAACGAGAAATGTTACACTTTTTATTCATTTTTTTAAACTGAAAATGTTTTTTTAAGCAAAAATCCATATTTTCCTCATCAAAAAACGTTAATATCTACAATGCTTCACTCTTGTCAAAACATTTTGGTTTATACAATTGAACTTGAGAATTAATAAAAAAAAAAAGTTGATATACCTACTCTTGAATGGATCGCTGTATTTCTTTCCACAAATCTTGAATTTTTACTGAGTTCTTCAAGCTCTAACTCGTTTACATAAACTTTCCTAAAAAAAATCTGGAAATTTATAATTTTTTTTGATATTAAAAAACTTTATTTATAACCTATTAGCTCACTCTCATAGCTGAATTTGACTATAACCCTCTTCCAGGGAATAAACATCGCCGTGGCATATTGCAGACAAAACTTTTCTAATATCAAAAAAAACTCCACATACCTTGTTTTAAAGACAATCTAATTTTGGAAAATTTTTGCTTTTGTTGGTTTTCTTATGGAATTATTTTGTTGGTTTTCTTATTTCTCTTTTGTTGGTTTTCTCAAAAACCGCTGACGCTAAAAAATTTAAACTCCAGATACGAAAACTAAAAACTTGAAGCTTCAATTTCCTTTTTTTTTTAAATTCTCTCTACGACCATTTTCCTCCAAGTTAAAGCTATGAAAATCACCCAAGAATTTGGAATTCTTTCAATATTCCTTAATTTTTGTGACTAGTGTATAAATCATTTGATGTATGTTAATTGTCATATTTACTTCTAAATCCGCGAACCGGCCTGCCCTTTTTAACGACAATTGAAGCTTTCTGAAATTTTATTAACATTTTCCGAAAACCTGTTTAAAATTCAAAAATCGCCTTCGGAAATTCAATTAGCTGAAATAAAACTGAAATGACGCTTCCGGAGATACATCTGGAAAGGGTGTGTGTCGTCTCTAAATGTTCCAATTACCGATTTTTTTCTTACTTCTTTATTCAAATGGAAATTTTCAGACATACGAAGTCATTGAACGAATTCTCATTTATTGAAAACGCAATTACTTAACGTCTACATTGACCGCGACAGTTACACCGTAGGATAAAAAGTAAATTATTTATATTGCCCCCGCATTTCAATCCACTCCATATAAGAGCTTGTCAACAAACATTTACTTAATTTCATAGCTTTTTTAAATCAACATTCCATTAAGAATAATTTTTTATTTACATTTATTAATAATGCAAATATACGCGACTAAATATACACTCCACGCACATTCCGGTGTGGTACAAAAACTTCGCTACTTATAAATGTAAATCCTCGAATTACGACAATTTAAATTCGTTTTCTCAAACGTCAATCTCGCGACTCACTTACGGCTGACATTCACGCGAACAGCTCCTATAAGACGCTCGCAAAACCAACGTAAGTCTGTGTCGAGTGAATTTTTTACGTCTATCGACCTCGGCGGCGTTGTTTCGTGTTATTTAATATTTCTTGCATAATTCGTCACGGCTCTCCGCGCAAATGGTATCGCGAGATAGCAAGGAATTGACGATTCAGCGAATGCAACGGGTGAATCACGAAGAATGCGAGTCTATAGCACTAAAGCGTTCAAACGTATTCTGCGTTTGATAGTCAACTGTG